TTTATTTTTGCTTTGATAATGGACACAGTATACATGGGCTTACGCAAAAGCCAAACAGTGGTACATAGCGGTTGACATACAAGAACTGTTGCCGTGGCACAGCATCATATCACATATATATGGCCTTGTATAAAGTGTTCCCATCGTCAGTGGTTTTCAGTTCAGTTACACTGTGTTTATTTAACACCTTTAACCTTTAACATAAACAATAATTAAAACTATGCTGCTTAGTATGTCTGTCCCCATACACTAGGTAGGCCCCAAGACTGTGTTGTCTGTGTCATATTGTTACAACAAATCCCACACCTTGTAGAAGGACCTAGAGGAGTTGCAGACCACTGAGGTCAGCCTATCCATTAGGCAATTGTCTTTGATCTTGTGATGGACTAGTGAGAGAGGGGGCACCTCCGGGCACATCCATTTTGGTGCTAGTGGTCTGCGGGCAGCTAGATCGATCATATTAAGTAAGATTTGTTCGTGCCTGGTCAGGCCGTCTGTGGGTCTGGACACGAGACATGCCCACAGGTTGAGTTCAACCCGTCTCTGTAAGATTTTGGAGCTCAAGTCTACCACTCCTTTCCAGACCTCCCTGATCCTGGGACAACCTGAAGAGTGTTTTAAAAGATTGTTCTTGCATAGTCACGAATACAGAGGATCGTGCGCTAGCCTCCCATATATCCTCCTATTCCACTCCTTCCAGCACCTCTCTCAGGTCGGCCTCCCATAGGTCTGTATACCTCAGCCCTCTCCTGTCTTTTCTGGTCGAGCTTAGGTTGTGGTACAATGTCGATAGTAGCCCCTTCGGAGGTGACTCTTTAAAGCACAGCCTCTCAAAGAACGTCATGAGGGTAGTCGCCGCTGCCCTAATGTCTTTCTTTTGTGCGAAATCCCTTATTTTATATATATCGTAAGTAGTCTCTGGTCTGTAGGGGCGCAAGCTCTTTCAAGTGGTCGTAAGTCACTATGGTGTTGTCTATGTACAAATGGACATATCTTTGCAGTCCTGTGTATTCTAAACCCCGAAAGTCTCTTGGTGTCATACCTGGTGGGGAAGCTCTGTTCCAGAGTATTGGGGTCATTGGTGAAGTGGGGCTACTAAGGGTGTATTTGGAGGCTGTCAGATCCCATATCTGAATGGAGTTGAGAATGTCCAGACAGCCCGCTTCAGTAATGCTCTGTGTCCTTTTGGGTCCCACATAAAGAAATGGGAGGAGATCTTCTCCCGTCAGGAGGGACTCAATATTCACCCAAAACCTAACTTCTGGTGGAGAGTGCCAGTGTGCAATCTGGGTTAGCTGTGCAGCAAGATAATAGATGTATAGGTGTGGTAGAACCAGGCCGCCCTACCTCCGTGGTCTGGATAGTGTAGCCCATGCTATTCTGGGTCGTCTGTTTTGCCAAATTAACCTGTCTATAGTGTGTTGCAGGCCTGCCAAATTGCTCAGTGCAATTTTCACCGGCAGTGTCTGAAACAAAAACAACAGTCTTGGAAGCACGTTAGTTTTTATTGAGTGTAATCTGCCTATCCATGAGATAGGCTTGTCCATCCAGTGTTCTATGTCATGTGTGAGGGTTTGGATCAGTGGCAGATAGTTCTGGTCATACATTTGAGTGTGGTCCGCGGTTAGGCGGACACCCAGGTATGTGAGGGCTGTGTTAGATATTTGTAGCTTAAAAGCGCTTCGCAGTTGTGCCATGCCCGGGGCCAAGAGGTGGAATGGCATGGCCATAGATTTTTTAGGTTAGATTTTTTAGAGTAGGTTAACTCTGCAACCCAAGAGATCGCCATAGCGGGCTAGCAGCGTTGTTAGGTGTTCCATCAATCTTATTGGATCTGAAAGGGTGAGTAGGACGTCATCTTTATATTGTTTATCTGCTATCGTTACTCCCTGGATTTGTTGGTGGGTTCTAATGGCATGGAGCAACGGTTCCAATGTATAGGGATAGCGGGTAGACCTGTCTCGTGCCATTCCCCAGTGGGAATGGGGATGATTGTGCCCCAGTGATTATGGTTTGTGCCTGAATGTTTGTGTAGAGGGCCTGTATCGCTGTAATAAATGGTTCCGGAAAACTGAAGGTCCGGAGTACCCCAAACAGATACGGCCATTGCACCCTGTCAGAGGCCTTCTCGGCGTCCAACGAGATCGCCAGAGAAGGTCTCCCTGTCACCACCATACGCCAGGTCAACACTGCCCCTCGACGGGTGTTATCATATAATTGTCTACCTGGCATAAAGCCCACCTGATCTGGGTGGATCAGACGTGTTAGGAGAGGTGTTAGTCTAGCCGCTAGTACTTTAGCGAATATCTTCATGTCCAAGTTAATGAGGGAGATGGGCCTTTAATTAGGTGCGTATGTGTCATCCCTACCTGGTTTGGGTATGAGGATTATGTTGGCTAGTGCCATGTCCACGTCAGGAATACCACCCTGCACAAAATGGTTGCATAAATTAGTGAGATGGGGAATGAGTACTTTACGGAATGTTTTGTAATCTCTGACATCATAGCCGTCAGGTCCTGGGGCTTTATTCCCCTTAAGTGCTGTAATAGCCACGTCTACTTCGGTTTGTATTATGGGAGCCTAAAGGCCCTCCACATCTTCCCCCGTCATTCCCGGCAAGGCCAAGTTTTTCAGGAAGTCATCCACTTCCATGATGTAGGGTACGTTGTTGCTATTTAGGTGGGGGAAGTGATTATATAGGTCTGTGTAAAATTCAGTAAACACTTTGTTGATTGTTGGGGTGTGGTGGCCATTTTTCCTCTCGGGCTGTGTATTTTCGTGATCGGCTTGTAGCTGCCTCTGGGCCTAAGAGTTCTGGCTAATAGGGTGTTCATTTTGTTCACCTTCTCATAGAACAAACATTTGGACCATGTAAGGGAGTGAGCAACTCCCTCCAGTGCCAGTTCTTTAATAGAATGTCTAAGTGCATTTATTTCTGTGAGTTTGGAGTGTGTGGGGTTAGATTTGTGCTATTGTTCAGCTCTACGTAGAGCTGTTTGTAGATTTGTTAAGAGTTCTGTTTTACGCTTTTTCCGGTATGTGGCCTCTTTAATAAGGTGCCCACGCACCACTGCTCTATGGGCTGCCCATACTGCTGTTGGGCTCACCTCTGGTGTGTCATTTAGTGTGAAGTAATCCTTGAGGATTAAGTCAGTCTTGCTGCAAATTTATTTGTCGTCAAGGAGGGAGGTGTTCAGTTTCGACGACCAGGTTGTCAAGTATTTGAGCCCACCGAGAGTGACGGAGATGTCTGCATGATCTGACCATGTTATGTTATTGATGTTCGACTGTAGGACCTTGGTTATCCCGTGTCCGTTTAGCTGTAAATTATCGATCCTTGAGTATGTGTCATGTGGTGCAGAGTAGAATGTATAATTCCACATGTCGGGGTGTTGGATCAACCACGCGTCTAGTAGTCCAATACGAGAAAGGAACGTCTGTGGACTAGGATGGTCACCCCTGCTCTCTTTCTTAGTGCACATGCTTCGTATGTCCTAGTGTACGTCCTGTTTTGTAGTCTTACCAGTGCCGAACTGAGGAGGTGCATTTCTTGTATGAGCGCTATATCTGCTTTCTTAGCTTTGAGTTCCCTCAGCAATAAGCGGCGATTATTTGGGTTATTAGGGCCCTTTACGTTCATAGATATTACCTTCAGATTCATGGGAATGGGGTTGTGCTTCGTGGGTGTGGTCTATGGTGTGTTCAATATTCAAGGCCCCCCAGTGCCGCGGGGACAAAGCAGCAATGTATAAACCATTCAAACAGTACATATACAAAATAATATATAACTCAAAACAAAAAAGTCTGGTCTTACACCTTGCCAGAGCAGTCTGGGGTGCAAGCCACCCCCCACCCCCAACGACTCCAAGATCCTCGCCAAGGGAGGTGGCCCCCATCCCCCAATCTGCAGTGCGCAGTACCCATGGTCATCACTCAGTTCACCTTCCTGTACAACTAGGAAGTACCATATCTCCCCCCAGCATCAGATCCCCCCAGATCATGTTAGTCATGACCTTTGTGAGCAGTCCTCTATCCGGGTTATGTGGGGCCCTGCTCTTCACTGGAATACCCTCACTCCATGTGCCCTCCGGGGCAGTATCTAGGGTACACTGTCAAGCCTAATATGCTCGGTGTAAAGGTGTCTGTGTCTTCCTGGTAGGTGCCAGTGTGGGTTGAGTGAAGCGCCCACCCCGTTTAGCTCTGTCTCCTCCCTTAGAGTATAGGTTTAGGGTAACTATGTACATTTGATAACATGTATAAAAGCAAGATAAAGGCATAAGGGTTATCCCCGCTTGCGCAACGACCTCGCACATTAGTGTTACATGTGTAGGGCTCACCACTCCAACCCCCTCCCCCATCGCTATCACCACCTATCTTGTGTGTGTGGCCAAACACTTATCTGAGCCATGGTGCTTCAGGAGTCCTGATAACGGTAAGGGTTAGGCAGTATATCAGTGAGAAAGCAGTGAATGCTGTGAGAGTTCAGGAGGGGCTTTCAGTTGCGTCGGCTCGATTCTTCTACTACGTCGTACCGTGGCAGGGGGAACAATTTGGGCCTCGGTGCTTTGCGCACTGTAGAGCCTGGCGGAATTGTGACGGACAGTCCCCGAAGGAAGGGGTCTGGCTAAAGGTAATGGTACTTTCCAGCTCAGAAGGCCACCAATTTGAAGGGGTGACCCCAGGTATAACGAATGTTGTTCTGACGGAGCAGTTCCACTACCGGTTTCCATTCCTTTCGACGCTGTAAGGTGGCTGGGAATAGATCCTGGTATACAGTTATTTCCGTATTCCTGTACTGCAGTGTATTGTCCCTGCTATATTTCACAGTAGCCTCCTTGGTTGCGTAGTAGTGAAAGCAGATAATGACGTCACCGGGAGTGGCACCTTCAGCTCTCCTGGCCTTTAGCGCTCTGTGGGCCCTATCTATCACCCATCTTTCTTTGGGTATGTCAGGAAGAAGGTGTTTAAAATAGTCATGCATTGCCTCTGCCAGGGGCCCCTCATTGGGGGTTTTGAGGAGGCCTCTCAAGGTTGTTGCGTCTTGAGCAGTTCAATAAATCCTCCACTATCAGTTTGAGGCTGTCTATCTGGTGTGCCATGGCTTCAGAATGGATCACCACTCCGTTATGGGCCTCAACTATGGTTTCCACACGTTGCTCCAGATCTGCCGTCTGGGCCCCCAAGGCCTGTATCTCTGATTTTACCTCTTTGGTGTTCCGTGTCATTTCCCCCGCCAGATAAGTTTTTACTTCTGTGAGTTTGTGGAGGATTTGTGCTGCGACCTCATGCTGTAGGTCTGGGTTTTCTCTCTCTGCCACAATGCCGGGGAAAGCGGACGCAAATAGCTCCATGGCTGAGGGCACTGATTCCCCTCACTCCCCACGCTTCCTCCGTGGCTGTTTAGCTCCTTAGCGCGTACCAGACATTTCCAGGTTCGTTTGGGATGACCACGAGTCCTGGTGCTGCTGGCAATTGGTAGTTTTGTGGCGGTTGAGCAGGAGCTCTGAGATTAGGCAGCCATTAAGGTCGACGTCCAGACTATGCCCCTCATAACCCAGGAGTTTTTAGGGCAAAGAAGTGGAATTTTCTGCAAAGCCAAGTCAATCATTTGACCCCAACTCGATTGAGCATGCATTTCACTTGCTGAAGACAAAATTTAAAGCAGTAAGACCCACTGTAACGGACCGTTTCGCTCACAAGGGGATAAAAACCATTTAGGCGATAATCCCCTTCCAGATAGACCAGCAGCTACTGCAATCACCAACCTCCCGAACTCCAACTTGCACGTATTCACCAACTCTCGAACAGCAGACACACGAACCCTGGAAGCAGCCGAACAGGAAAAGCCCTACGAACCGCTTACACTCCTGGCAATCGGCATACAGTCAAATTCCCCCCAAGAATGAGACGACACTTCACTTTGAGGGTTAAACAGGAACAACCCTGCTGGCACACCCAGCCTGTTTTTTATTACAGTCTTGCACATACAGGACCGCCCACAGGGAGGTATAAAATAGTTACATAGTTACTGTAGCGTTACTTACCTTAACCGGGGGCCGGTCGCGGTCCTCTCTTCAAGCCGCGCGCGGTCCTGCGGCTGCACGAGCCGCGCGCGGCTCATCCAACTACTTCGGATGGACGGCGGGCAGTGACCGCGTGAGGCGGTCACGTGTCCCGCCTGAATCTAAGAGCGCGCCGCGAGTTTCTCGGTATTTTTGGTGGGATTCCTTACGAAAGGATGTCACTGACTATATAAGTGCTTGTACTACTTGTGCCTGTATGAAATCCTCCCGTAGAGTTCCTTGTGGGCTGTTGCATCCGTTACCCGTTCCGAGAGACCTTGGTCTAACCTGTCCATGGATTTTATTGTTGAATTACCCCCTTCAAATGGTAACACAGTGATCCTGATGATAGTGGATCGGTTCTCCAAAATGGCTCACTTCGTGTCTCTTCGCAAGTTGCCCACATCTAAGGAACTGGCTCATATCTTCGCTAGAGAAGTATTTCGATTACATGGGATTCCCGTATCTATTGTATCCGATAGGGGTAGCCAATTTATTTCCAGGTTCTGGAGGGCCTTTTGTTCAGAAATGGGTATTTCTCTCTCATTTTCTTCCGCTTATCATCCCCAGTCTAATGGGGCTGCTGAACGTGCCAACCAGTCTCTGGAGCAATACCTCCGTTGTTTTGTGTCTCACCATCAGGATAATTGGTCTGACCTGCTTCCTTGGGCTGAATTTGCTCGGAATAACGCCACTCATGATTCTTCCGGCAAGAGCCCTTTTTACGTTGTCTATGGCCAGCATCCCGTTGTTCTTCCGGCTGCATTCTCCTCACAGGGCATGCCAGTTCTGGATGAGCATTTGGCTGGTTTGCGTAATACTTGGGAGCAGGTTCAGCGTTCTTTGGTGGACTCTGCTACTCGCCAGAAGGCTCAGGCTGACAAGCATCGCAGAGCAGCTCCGTCCTATGTTGTGGGGGACAGGGTTTTGCTTTCCACGCGGAATATTCGTCTCCGGGTGCCTTCTATGAAATTGGCTCCCCGCTTCATTGGACCTTATCGTATTATACATAAGGTTAATCCTGTTTCTTATGCCTTAGGCCTGCCTAAGAATCTACGTATTCCTAATGTTTTTCACACCTCATTGTTGAAACCTTTCGTACGCAACCGCTATACCCGGCATACTCCTCCTCCCCCTCCTATCTCGGTGGAGGGTCATGAGGAGTTTGAAGTGTCTGCTGTTCTTGACTCTCGTTTCCTTAGGGGTCGACTTCAATACTTGGTACATTGGAAGGGTTATGGGCCTGAGGAGCACAGTTGGATTTCGGCCGATGCTGTCCATGCTCCCCGTCTTGTGCGCTCTTTCCATTCACGTTTTCCTGCCAGGCCTGGTCCTACCCGCCCGGGGGGCGTGTCCTCAGGGGGGGGTACTGTAGCGTTACTTACCTTAACCGGGGGCCGGTCGCGGTCCTCTCTTCAAGCCGCGCGCGGTCCTGCGGCTGCACGAGCCGCGCGCGGCTCATCCAACTACTTCGGATGGAGGGCGGGCAGTGACCGCGTGAGGCGGTCACGTGTCCCGCCTGAAACTAAGAGCGCGCCGCGAGTCTCGGGCGCGCTCTTAAAGGGACAGTGGGTGCCTAAATTGGAAAAGGCATCCCATTGGTCCCTGTCATGCCACACTCCCCATACACTTACCTTTTGGGGGCGTGGATGTGACAGGGACCAATCAAATTAGATGTTTAGGTATTTATACTCACCTTCTTCCCTTTGTTCCTTGCCCTATCGTGGTTTCTGTTTCAGTTCCCTTTAGCGCTTGTGGTGTTCAGTTGTGTTTTCTCGTATTGACTTTGGCTTCGTATTCTGACTTCGTTTTCGCTTTATCCTTATCTGTACTGTTTGCCGGCTTGCTGTTTTCCGTGTACCAGACCCCGGCTTGTCCTAGTTTACGCTGTCTCTCTGTGCCCTTGACCTCGGTTTGTTCCTGGCTCTGTCTTCTCTCATATACGTCAAGTCCGGCCATTCTAAGGTCCGGTAGACGTATCTCTCCTCTGTATTTGCCTCTGTTTAGCTGGATCCTGCGTGTAGGGGTATATTCTCGTTACAGTTACATAGTTGAAAAGAGACTTGCGTCCATCAAGTTCAGCCTACCTCACATTTGTTTTTTGCTGTTGATCCAAAAGAAGGCAAAAAAACCCAGTTTGAAGCACAATTTTGCAACAAGCTAGGAAAAAAATTCCTTCTTGACCCCAGAATGGCAGTCAGATTTATCCTTGGATCAAGCAGTTATTACCCTACATTGAAAGATTATATCCTTGAATATTCTGCTCTTGCAAGTATGCATCTAGTAGCCGTTTGAACATCTGTATGGACTCTGATAAAACCACTTCCTCAGGCAGAGAATTCCACATCCTGATTGTTCTTACAGTAAAAAAACCTTTCCTTTGCCTTAGACGAAATCTTCTTTCTTCCAGTCTAAACGCATGGCCTCGTGTCCTATGTAAAGTCCGGTTTGTGAATAGATTTCCACACAATGGTTTGTATTGGTCCTGAATATATTTGTATAATGTTATCATATCCCCTCTCAGGCGACGTTTTTCTAAACTAAATAGGTTTAAATTTGTTAACCTTTCTTCATAGCCGATATGTTCCATTCCTTTTATTAATTTTGTAGCCCGCCTCTGCACTTTTTCTAGTGCCATAATATCCTTCTTTAGAACAGGTGCCCAAAATTGCACAGCATATTCAATATGGCGTCTTACCAGTGATTTATAAAGAGGCAAAATTATATTCTTGTCCCGAGAATGAATGCCCTTTTTCATGCATGACAATACCTTACTGGCCTTGGCCACTGCTGATTGACATTGCACATTGTTGCATAGTTTGTTGTCTATAACAATTCCCAAGTCCTTTTCATGTGTTGTTATCCCTAATTCGCTTCCATTAAGGGTATACGTTGCTTGTGTATTCTTTACGCCGAAGTGCATAACTTTGCATTTTTCAACATTAAATTTCATCTGCCATTTGAGTGCCCAGTCCCCCAGTCTATCTAAATCCCTCTGCAGCAAAGTAATATCTTGCTCACATTGTATTGTTTTACAAAGTTTGGTGTCATCTGCAAACACTGAAACATGACTTTCAATGCGGTCTTCAAGATCATTTATAAACATGTTAAATAGAAGGGGTCCCAGAACAGACCCCTGAGGGACACCACTTGCCACCTCTGTCCAGCTTGAAAATTTACCATTAATGACAACTCTTTGTACTCTGTTTTTAAGCCAATGTTCTACCCAAGAACAAGCATTTTCATCTAGACCGATTTCCTTGAGTTTGAACACTAATCTATTGTGTGGAACTGTATCAAATACCTTGGCAAAATCCAAATAGATCACATCCACGGCAACACCCTGATCTATACTTCTACTTACTTCTTCGTAGAACGCAATCAAGTTAGTTTGAAATAACCAATCAAATAACAGTTACAACCCACAATGCATCACAATCCCTCCTCCCTGGCCTGGAGATAATTGGAGAAGTAATACAATTATCTCCAAGGACAGAGGCAAACTCCATTACACACATGGCAGACAAAAGACAGTAAAATACAATAAAATACACAAGGTTACATTTATACATAAAATACAGACATTCTACCTATCCCCAGATAGCTTAGATCTGAGCGCACGTTATTACCGGATGGCGCTCAGATCACATACATACAGTTCAATCGCCATGGAGCCAAAGTCTTTCATACAGTCTTTCAGTATACGGCTGGGCTCCATGACATAGCTATCTGGGGTAGCATGGCTTTAACAGTCCGCAGAAAGGCACAAACCAGGGAAAAAGAACAGGGGCCATAGTCTAAAGGTAAGAGGCGGGCAAGCAGCCCCCTCCAAGGACAGGTGGCAAGGTCGGTTTCGCCACACTTCTCCCCTTTACCCCCCAGACTAACAGGGTATCTGACCTCCTGCCGGTCAGTGCCCTGGTTAGTCCAGCAACCCACCCATGAAGCACAAACAGCAGTACCTCCCACCCACAATAAATGTTTACTCCACCTGGATAAAGTAGCAGCTTGTCCAGGTCCAGGTTCCTCATCACGGCTGTGCGGGGAGCTGGTAGACTGCCTTGGTGGGTTGCTGAGTGGGCAGAGACCAGCGGTACTCTGCCCTGGTGCCAGCGCTACCACTGAAGTAGCCTGGTTGGAGCCTGGTTGTGGGAGGGGGAGACCGACCGTCTCCCCTCTGGATACACAGCTCTGGGGCTGGGGGACAGGACCGACCGTCCCTACCCCTTGTGCTGCAAGTGCAAAGACTACGGTCCCATCTGCACTGTTGGGGGGTGTAACATCTCCCC